ATGTTACAAAGCCAAGATGATCAGAGATTGCAGAGATAATTGCACTGTGTCAAAACTTTTTGAACGCCCCACGTATATAGGCGCAGTAACAGAATTAGACGCGTTATTTTGAGAACAAATCAATTTTGGACGAAACTTCTGCGTCATTTTGAAACAGCCCTTACCGCTAATAGCCCATTCGCAACAATGGCATCCAATAGAATATTTTGCATAACGCAACATAAAAAAGTATCTATAAAAAGCGGCTTCAAATACAAGTCAACAATCAATGACGGAAAAAGTTTACTCAACAAAGCTTTTCGTTATCGAACCTGCTGATGTCACCCTCGGCTCTCGAAAGTTTTACTGCCAGACAATATGGTACAAACCCAAGATTTTGACCGACACGGAGAATCTTTTACCGGCTGATGTGATATGTGAAGTTAAGCTAACAGACTGTACTGATTATTGGGGTGCCAAGGGTAACGTACGAGTCGACTAAAAAAGGACGTATGCTTAATTCTCGTAGATATTAATTTTTTGTAATTCACTTTTTAGTAACAAACAGTCAATTAATGGAAAATACTACACTTAACATATCAAAAGACTTTAATAACAAGCGACTTGGAGTGATTCAAGGCCTATTAAACGGACAACGGCAAGTGGACAATAGGCCGTGTCGACTAAGTGTTAATAGTCAGAACGAGGTATACATTCTAAATACGGGTTATTTGTTTGTTTGTCAGACGTAAAAGTTAAAAATTTTCCCATAGCTTGTGTTTACAGTCGAAGGGCGAGAAAATTCGAGCAATTATGACGAGCAATTGGTGAGTTTACGATTAGATGTTTGCTGGTCCAAATAAAACATTATACATTTATTTGAGATACTTTGTAGGTTGCGGTTGTAGATATATGGAAACTTCAATTGCATTCAGTACGCGATCAATCGTTACAGAACATGTGGCGAGAGCTTCTTAGTAACGCGATTGAACAAATCAACTCTGCCGAGGTATTATAAAAATATATTATGTAGCTTCTTAACTGAAATCGAAATACTAAAACTATGGCTACTTAAAGAAGTTGAATACAGAAACTGCGAAAATGCTGAAAGGAAAACGAAAGTTCTCTACTAAAGAGATAGACAGGATGAACGTGACAAAATCGATATTAGATAAGAATCTAATAATTAAGGTATTGACAATTTGACTTGACCCCCGCCTCCTCTTTTTCTTTCTCGTGGCATGTTATTAAAGTAAAGATTATCTATCTATGCTTATTCGTAGTTTTCGGTTGTGTTAAATTCAAAGAAACAAAAAATCAGAAAATTGAAAAGGTTGCTGGAAAGGCAGGAGTGATATGCTGTGTTGAAATGGTCAACCCGCTTTAGATCAATTATATATCAACTTGCAATACTGATTTCAAACAAGCAAATTAATTCATAGCTAGTATATATATCAATTTTAGATGGAAAAGCGCTTATTTTGATGTCATGTCGCGCGATTCACTTGATCATAACTGGTCGATGAGTACAGTGTGACACGAAATTATTGATAATGAAAAAAAGGGGTTATTGCCAGCCAACGACATTAGCATTAGTATCTACATTTATTTAAATAGTTTTAATATGGAATTCGTTCCCCATTTGTTTCTATAACAAGCCTCATCTATCTCTCATCGAATTAACTAAATTAATTAACATATACATAGTTTTCAGAATCGAATTCCACTCCTCCACCATAAACTCAGTCAGTTTTTTGGCATGCGTTTTTTTTTTTTGACAATATTCCAGAGGTTTTCGATGGAATTAAGATCAGGGCTATTAGAAGGCCAATCAATAACTTAGGAACATTTTCCTGAAGAAATGGGGCTCATTATTATCTTGTTGAAACCGCCATCTCTTACCCGCCAAATTATTAACCTCTGGAATATGTTTTTCTAAGATTTCTACATAAATTTTGCATCCATAATATTTTTAAAACAAAAGATATGACTTTTTATACCCTTAATGCAAAATATATCAGCAAAAATACCAACAATTGATTGATTAAGCCAGTTAAAAGACTGTCTGAACTCTATTGATAAGTCAGGCATGCCTGCAGACACTGCTAGTGGTATGATTGCATTTCTATTATAAAAGTTGATAATAATAACCAAATTTATTTCCTAAACTAAAACATGTCTAATCTTGATTATTTGCTGGTGTTTTGTACACTCACAACTACCCCAGTAGCACCATCAAAATTTTGCAGGTCATGTGTCTGTTATTGTGACTGATGGTTTGTGTTGTGCCACATGTAATTTTTTTAGGTCAGCCATTATAATTACCTTCCTTATTATTATGCACTATGCTGCCAGTTTTTTTTTCTTTCAATTTTTTAATATTATAATAGATTGTTGATGGTGGTATCTTAGTCAGAATGTGCAATTCTTTTGCAGATTTGACACCCTTGTTCCAAAAATGTAATATAGCTTGATGTTGTGCTTGCTTTCATATTCAGCAGAAAACAAATTATGAAAAAAGTTACATAATAATAATAATACCAAAACAGACCTTTATTATATATTAATAGAAAACAAAACTTTGCATTTGTTTTGAAATATTCATGACACAATTTGGATTCAAATTAGTATTAGGTGAGTTAGAACCATTTACATTAAATGATAATTTTTCCAATTGTTTTGTTACACACTGTAACTGAATGTGCAATGAAAAAGAATGTGCACATACTAATACTAATACTAATACATGGTGTTTTTTTTTCTTGTAATAGTAAGTCATCTATGTCTGTAGTATAAGTATGACTGAGGCAAAAAAGATAATAATAAAGGTTTGTATTTAGTTTATGTTTAACATAGATCCAGGAGTATTAATGAATGCATTGTCTTCACTTTTGAACTATAATATTGATGCAAATAAATTTTTTATTAATTAATGTGCTATTAATATCTCATAATTAACAGATGAGGGTGCAAAGATTAGGGGGGTAAAACTAGAAGGCAATCATACTTCTGAATATGAAAGCATACATTATACCAGATACAGAATAAGAAATTTTACTAGCATGTGAACAAGATGCTAATACCAAAAGTTATTACTACTATTACTATTGTGTTTGACATTCATTCATGTAATGTGATGAAACATCATCATCAAATTTAACATTTTTTCTAGCATTAGTATTAGCATGTTTTCTTGCCTTCTCCTCTTGCTTTTGCTTATTGTAACTCATCACCTTGTTGTGTCTTGAGGTTCTGACTTTTCAAAGTCTTGATGGTAAATTGTATTACTATTACTGCCACTTTGCAATTTGGGAGTGGAAGTGTTAGTTCCCATAGGTAAATTACTGAAAGAAGTGAAATTCTTCTTATCCCTTTGTCATAGCAATAGCAAAAAATAATTTTTCATAGCCTGTTGGATTACCCTCTGTAGCTCCTGTGAGAGTTTCTGACAGATTGTCAGAGCTGAAGACATTCATAAGTAGATCAACATCACTTCTTTTCTTGACTTAGTTGTTCAGTCTGTATGAGTAAATAAATTGTTTCCCATGTATTCAGTCAAAAGCATGTTCAATCTTTCTTTTTCACTTTGGACTGATTATGATGCAATCCATTGTTTTAAATCTTTACCACTTCCTAGCTTTCCTCTCAACCTCTCCAATGCCTCATCAAAAGCAAAGAAATGTCCAGGATGAGTCACATTGACTGATGGGGCATATTCCAGCAGCATTTGGAGCATTTTATTTTGCTGAATGTAACCTAGGAAATGGGTGACTGACTCTGTATAATTAAAACACCTTGCTATTGGAAATAATGGTGCAAAGGCTTTCAGATTTTGTCATTGTGACCATATCATATCCCTAATTTATGCCTCACCCAATATGATGTCCATTCTTGAAAAAGATGCCATACTCTTAAGACATTATTTCTTTCCAAAGGATGGTTTACATTATCACCTTTTTGTTTAGAGTATTTACTAATTATAATAACAATCTTGCTTGCAACCCAGAGCAATCCATCACCTTTGATCCTGCCTGATAGTCTGTGTATGTGATGTTTTTGAATTTATCCACATAATAAACTCTGAGCAACTCAGCCAACTTAAATATAAATATGCCATAATAATAATTTGAAAAAATTTTAATAAGAGCAATGCACATTACTTTGTTGGTGTGCCAACCTCCAAGAAAGAAATTAAACTCAGGATGTGAATTGTGTAGTGAATGCAAACGTCAGAATATGCTTTCATATTTAGGAATGTAAAGGACAATCCAACGATTTTTTCTGGCTTTCCAAACAGCATAAAATGTGATACATGTTTTGCCAGCACCTGCAGGTCCTTCAACATATGTTCTCTCAGACATACATCAATTTCGTCCATCTCACGGTGATAAAGGAGCTTCAGTTCTACGAGAGATTCTGATATCTCCCCCAGGTGTCCCTGTGTTATAGTTACCCACTCTGGTGGGGTTTCATTATTTAGTCGAGTGTTAGAAGTTGGCAAAGGTTGTGTCGCTGGGTCTGACTCGGCCATTTCTTGCTGAATGTGCGTGGGAAGGAAAAAAAGCCCCTTTTTATTTTTTCACGATCATCGATTGGCTGCGGCAAAAAAAACTTTGATTATAAAGAAGCGTCTTTTGAGAGATACACAAGAGAGAACTAAACGGTGAATAGTTCTGACTTGAACAACTTTTATTATCACTATTTGTTTATTAGAGAGCAACAGTTTTCGAGAAAAGAGGGAAGGAAGATTTCGTAATTAGTCATATATACTGTACGTAAATGGGGACAATAGTTTCCCTTATCACTTTGAAATACAACTTGCCATTACAACAACCGCCAAGAGAGTTTACGTAAATACCAACTGTCTTGGCTGTCAGTAATATGTAACAGTTATATTAACATGTATGCTTCCCATTGCACAGTATCTTTGCGACAACAAGTTGCATTATTAGTCATGAAGAGACGTGAAGAAACGGGTTCTACTGACTAAATTCTTTCATAGTTGCCTTCATAATATGATAGCGTATTGAGAATTGGGCTAAAACAGAATGACCAATATTAAGTACGATTTCAATATGCATAAACGGCTGGCTTGATTCTTCGAACACGCAAAATCAAATTTCGTCATCAATCGCTCACTAATAACCCAACAACCAAGAATCCAATGCTCACACGGACGTTAACGTAACTGTGTGCAAAAAATTGACACAGAAGATTAAGTACAATTTGAATATGCATAAAACGGATGGCTTGATATCATTGTAGGTAAACTTGTATTAATATTTTATGCACGCACTCAGTTCAGCACCGATTAAGTAAATGTTATTATTATTATGAGTTAAAAAATCTGTAACTATAGATTCGCTGACTGACGGCCCACAACGCCTTCAGTCTCCGATACTTCATCTACAGCATCGATACCAATTGTGACAGCCGGTGTCAAAAGCAAGAGGGAGAGGTTAGTATCAATCTTAGCATAAATTAGCGTATCCAAATGGACTGGTGAATAACTTTCATCTGCTACGGGTATCGAGGCTATACAAGAGCTCTAATTGCGCTCAGAAGAGTTTTGGCAACTCGGTGATGTCTCATTGGTTAGACGACTGAGTTAAAGGCGGGCATGATGAGTATCAGAGACATGGTAGAAAAAATGACGGCATCAGGAAATAATCACTTGTCAGAGACTTTACTGGTATGTAATAACAAAAATGAATTGATTATATTTTGTGAGCGCCTGTCCTTGAAATTAACTTCGTCTGTATTAGAATACTCTCAAACAACAATACATGTCAATGATACAAAAAGTCACACGAACGTGGGTTGCCGCCGCATATCCAGATTCACCTACATTCAGGTCTAAAGCAAAATGGACCGTTGGTGGACGTCCAATCGTTCCGAGGTGTTACAATGCGTAGCAAAATTACGTGTTATTTTCGGTATTCAGATAAAATTTCTGTAGTTATTAGGTACCTTCAGAAACAGAAAGGCTCCCTCCCCCCCCCACCGCCCCCATCATCACCTCCCCTGTGTGGAAGAGAATTTCCTGCCCCAGTTTCACAGTATCTTTCTATTGTGTCATGTACTGTGCTTTTTGGGTGGCCAGTTTTTGCTTCAATTTCTCGTTCGCTGTGTCCAAAAAGCCACCCCCCGATAATGATTCCGCGTTCAAATTCAGTTAACTCTGTCATTTACTAAGAATAAGTTGGAATGCTTGAATTTTTTTTTGCAAAAATGTGTGGAAAGTGGAAGTAGAAAGCTTAATGCAATATCCTGCATTGTAAATGCGCACATTTGCACTGTGAATGCGCACGCATGTGATCAATTTTCAGATAATTATCTGTGAAATTAATATGCCGTTACTTGAATGCCATAACAAATTTTATTTATATTATACTGCCATATTATTTACATTTTTTCAAAGTATATGACATGCGCTACAAAACCTCATTTAAAGTTTGTTAATAATGCAAATGGTTGTGGAGTTATTAATTTTTGAACATTTTCTTCGTAATGCCTAATTTATTCATTTTCAGTTGAGTAAAGTCGGGTATAAGTAAACCTAACCGTTTACATATTAATCTAAGCTAAAATTTTGCAGGAATGTAGCTCAATACAAGCGCAAACTACGGCTAAAGTTTCATAGAAATCTAATGTTTTGTTACGGAGTTATGCATGATCAACGAAAATTTTAAGGGGTGGTCGGAGACTTTTGGTCACCCACTGTATGTCCGATTGGAATAATAAAGACAATCAGGTAACACCATTATAAAAAGTGATTTATTAACATTACGATAAATGAGTATAAACCAACTGAGTTTGTTATAAAGATATGCATTTTAAAGTTTGTTTAACATAAAAATGAACAATTTATATAAGCGCAAGTAACTTGTGGTATTACTATTATTATATTATATTGTTTATATACAATTTTACCTCATAATACAATAGTAACAAATTGCTGTCTATTTATTGTGACAGTTAAACATACTTCATAACGTTTTGTTTTTGTCATTATGTAATCGTAAATCATTGAAAGTTCAAAACGTTTATTTCAAAGACATCGCATGTATCACTGTCATAAGGAGAATTGCATTGACACAAGTGGTTAAAAATAAAGTATATTCTCACAAAAACTGTCAATGCCGAAAATTAGGAAGAATAGCGTTTTATGCTAAATTATCTTCAAATATTCACAAACCAATTCACTCAGTGGTGAGCGTAGGATAATATTGATTGATTTGAATTTCTGTCAATTCTCGTAAATAGTAAATCGAAATTGCAGATCTGTTAATTTCACACGGTCTAGCCTAGATTTAGTTGACAAGCTGACTGTCGTACCAGCTTAAATTGAACACAAATGGTTAAGTCTTAAATACCATGGATTGAGTAGAGATTTCAATATATCGATCGGTGTTTACTCAAACCTGCGCCAATAAAAGGACCATCACTAACGTATTCTGTAAGTCAAAGCATATTTTACGACCGACGTCTATTACGCTATTTTAATACTCTCGTCTTTCACTATTCATCACTAACGTTTTAGAAACTCCACAACTGTGTGCCGATCGGTGTTTACTGATTGGGTGCCTGTATTTCCTACTAATAGAATAAACTATTCGCTAATGTATTCAGTAACTCAAGGCACTCTTTCACAATAATATGCCACGTCATGTTATGTTTATTCACAATTGTATTGCCTACAAACACAAAGACAATCACTGATGTATTCTGTAACTTAATACATTCTGTCAAAAAATAATAAAGCCGCTTCAGCTCAAAGCTTGGTCGATCGAACCAAAGTTGTAAGGCTAATTTAATTGTTCAATGGCTCGATGCGCTTGTCGCAAAGCTGCTGTCATTTGCAACTTAAACTGCCACCCTCACAATCGTCAATGTAATAATGTTAATTAAATACGTCGTCTCGTGTATAATAACGTGTTTATATGCAGTAGCGTTTAATATCATAATGTCGTTTTAACGTTGCTACCTAATTGTCTTTATGATTCTAGTATGACACATATGTCCATTTGGAACGGACATAAATTCCCATCTGACATATGTTTATTCCCGAATGGACATAGATTATATTCTGACATGTGTCTATTCTGAACTGACATATTTTCATTTGGAATAGACATAAAATCTAACCTGACATGCAACAAACTTTACGCTCAAAATTTATTGCGTTTGTTGTAGAGATATGTCACTGCATTTATTATGTATAAGATATGTAAATAGTTGATTTGTTGGTGACAGGGAGAGCACATGTTTCAGTGTTGTAATGTAAATAGTATTCAAACGGCGATTCTATTCAGTTTAGTAGTATTACAATTGTTATAACAAATACAAATATTGTGTCATATGGTAGTGAAGAACAAAGATATTAAAACTTGTGTAAAAATGTTAATAATGTAATTCAGTTAGATTTAAATATTAGTTTGATTAGAAGAGATATGTTAGCTGAAGCAAGTCAGAAACTTTTTTATTCGTATTTGAAGAGAGTACTTTCTTTTTACTGATTGGCTTGGCTTGCCTCCGAGAAGATTAATTTTGAAAGCTGGTCGACAGTTTGCAATTTTATTGCGTTTTGTTAAATTGCGTGTAGTTGCAAATTTTTGATATAGTTGACTTCTGAAATGCCGAGAAAGATGAGGAGAGAACTGCATACAAAAGTATCTTGATAGATGGCATTAGTATTAGAGAATATAAATCTACATATGCAATTTTGACACACAGTTTATTCTCGTCTAACGTTTTTACGAGCAAATGTTGGAACCAGTTTTGTTTTCTAGCATTATGTGAGCGTGGAAAAGTGGATGAAAGAGGAACTTATATATATGCAAAATATATAATGGTATGACTTAATTGTTATCAGTCATTGTATGATCAACCTGGTATTGAAAGGACGCGGCTCTCTCATTTTTTCTTTCAATCAGACAGATTAATAAAGTATGGCGTTAGCGATAGTTATGTGGGTGCTACTATTGGATAAATGGATTGCGAAATACGTTTATATAAAAGAGGGAATAGTTGACATAGAGGAGGACATCATAGGATATACATCGAAAGGGCTCGTATGAATATTTTGAAATGACGCTTAACTATCAGTATGTCGCTCTGAATAAAGTTTCTTTTACCGTGTGTGATACAATGCTGATATTTAATATTGTACATCGAAAGGTTTACATAAAGTCGAATCTATAAATATTGGTTATAACGTTCGTAAACGGTAATAAGTATAAAGAAATACATAATCGTTAATAACATAAGAATAACACTAAAGCGGAAGGTATTAAAGTGGTTGGTTATGTTTATTTCCTTGACTACAATAATTCGTAGTTTTATTTATCTTTCGTCCTCTGGATATTCTCGTAACACTATGGTTGTTATTCACTTAAGTGGAAAGCATTTTAGGTAAACACAAATCCAATTGTAGGCTTTGAATTAATTCTTCGTAAGGAGTTGATATACTCGGGACTGGATAATTGTAGGTTTCAGATCGCTTATTTAACAAATAGTAGAGCGGCTTTGTTACTGTCAGTGTTTTATTACACTTCCACACTTGTTAACCAATACAGTACAGATCTAATTCTCGATGACATTTTGCTATTTGGAATGAGAAAAGAATCGGATAAAAGTTTCAGAATGTTGCAGTTTTGCACGAGCTACATTCAACGTTTTGCCCTTTTTTCCAGATAGAGAATGTATATAATTCTAATTGGTTTAACGGTGCGGTGTAAACGCCTTTTTCTTTCAGACAAAAATTGTATTCCACTTTCAGAAATATAAATTTATACTAACGTTCTTGTTGAAATCGGATAAACACTAATACGAAACAGTTCGTTTGCCGCAAACGCTTTTGGCTCTTATTACAACGATACGCACATCAGTTGCAAAGCGTTGTCTCGTAGTTACGCAATTTACTTCATATACACTCCCCAATAGACTATTTATGTTCAAAAACTAGCCAAATTCTCTCTTCTAAACAGTAGTAATTTTACCAAACGTGTTAATCTGCTTATATTTGTTCATAGCTATTTCTTTAAAGTTCTAGTTGAAACACGTTGTCTCCGTTGTCTCAGTTGTGTCAATGCTTGAACATATGATAGCGAGTGTTTTGCTATTATCAGGCGATGATATTTTTAGACCTCAATTCACGAAGTAGTTGAATCCAGGGGTGGCTTATCAATATCATTTTATGGCTATCTGAGGCACATGTTCAGTAGCCTATCATTCTAACTAATTTACGCCACTTTGTTAAATAACCACACAACGCCACATGTTCAACAATCCACTATGGTATTATTCTTCGGCATTTGGTTGACAAATTGGTTGACAGAGGCTATCCCGGGGGTGGGCTCCAACTACATATGTGGGCTCCATACATCATTGATCGTTGCGTTGCATTAGCGTATTACACAGACATGTCAATCATAATATTTTTTTGGATAAGTAGTTGACGATAAAAGAAACCCAAATTTGGGTTTCGATATACGCAACCAATAATCGGGCAATTTATTCCAGAACATACGATCTACATAAACCTCCTTTTTAGAACCAAAAGATATGTTCCTTTGCCGTTTGTTCGATACCAAAACTATGTCATTGATACCCAGTTTAGTTTCCACATAGAACTTTTTATTAATAGATCTCATTGATATAAACAAATAGCACTTTTTGACTCGTGCACTTATCTAACGGCAAACATTACAAATCAGTTTCGCTGTTCTTGAAATAATGTCAATACGATATAGCTTATCATTCTATATCAATGTGCTTTATAAACTATCATATACGCATTCAATGCTTGTTTCTAATCCAAATATGTACAAGGCTCAGCAGCAATAACTGCGTGTGTCTAATAGTTTGTCAATACCATGCAATAGGTTGCTCATGGAATCTTTTCGAAAAACGCCCATAGCATGTTACCCTTATTTACCTGGAGAGGTAACCGTTGCACGTGTTATCTGCTCAATAGATCTCAATACCAATTGATTCTTATTTATGTTACAGTCAACGAACACATAAATAGATGATAAATCAGGTGTGGAAAGTGTGACCATCGGTTCAGTCAAAATGGTTGCTGCTGTGATTGACAAGCCTAGAATATCAAGTGAAAATAAATGTTTTGCACCAGCACGCCACTTGATCATCTGGAAAGGGCATAAAAAATGAAACGAGGGGAAAACCTTCAGGCACGCAGATTAAAGTAACTGTAAGTTTATATTTTTATTAGTAGCTAAATATTTTAATGTATTTATAATATATAAAAAAATTTTTCTATATAATTACTATCTAATCAAACCTATAAAAGCAATGCTAACTGACGTTTGTGTCAGCTTTATTGCAGAGAAACCTTGAAGACTTTTTTTCTTCCTTTCTATTTCGTTTTCCCACAACTCATTCATATAAAATGGCTCCTTCGTCAGCGTTTGTCACACATATGCTACAAAATCCGGTTCCTACGTATCTTTTGGGCACGTTGCCCGCAATTCTCACAATAGGAGCAGCGCCATTTTCTTCACTCAAATTAAAGGTTTCCCATATCTTCATTTGCCTAGCGTCTCCCTTTGTTGGTTTATTTTACTTTGTCAACATTAATTTTGGGGAAGACGGAGATGACCAGGACGTAGTAGACGCTTGCGTTTACTGGCTAAACTGCAATCGTTTTGAGGGTGGCATTTGGCCGTTCGGATACCGTGTTCAGGCCATAGATGCGAGGCCGAATAATCAAAATGTTCCCTTACCGAAAGCTCTCAGGAGCTGTATAGCCAACGCATCTGTTCTGGATCGATTTGCATCTCTGGCATCAGCCTACTACATTGTGGTAGGTATAGCCTTGGGAATCTATCGGGCGGCTGGGCCATGCGATATCCAAGAATGGCCCTATATTCCGTTGCTATTAACCTGGACATTGCCGGCAATTTTGATAAGAATATTTAAAGGCAAAATTGTCGCAAAAAACCCGGAAGAAGAGTTGAATGAAGATATGCTAATATCAGTCAGAAAATTATCGAATGAAAATGTTCGTAGCATACGAGAGAACGTATTGTCAATACTCGTATTATCGTCGCTTATTCCCTGGGTAGCAGTAATTATCGCTTATCTTACTCGACCTAAAGGTTTTGGTTGCCGTTCTAAATATCTGACGGGATTTTGTAGCGTTTGGACATTTAATAGTATCGTTGCGTTTGTTTATTACTATTTGGGAAATCGCCCACCGCCGGGCGTAAACACGGATCAAGATCGTGTTTATATTTGGTTTCAAGTTTGTGGATTCGTAGTTGCAGTGTTTCTAGTAATTCTAGCTGTGCTAAGCAATAATCCGTCATACTGGGTAAACATGTTCGGAGATGCCTGTGATACTTCAGCTTGTTTTACATAAACTTTAAATATCATTTATTATGTTCTTACTTATTTGAACATTTTGTATTTATAAATGCAGTTGTTTTTTTTTATTCGTAATTTAATTTTTACGTACAATAATAAAATTTGTTTTATTTTGAAATTATCCGCGTTAGCTATTAATTAACATTAGTGAATCAGAATTTATATCCATTTTGAATAGACATATGTCAGTTTGGATTATACATATATTCTGATAGCAATATAACATAAATTCCGATCTGACATACTCAACAGTGTAATGTTACAAGTCCCATAAAACTTATTAAATAGGGAAGCGTTTATTTTTCTCCTCCTGGCAAATTATTTTTCCGACAATTATTTCTCTGCCAATATTTTTTTCGGCATTAAACTATGGCAACAAACTTTTTGCCCGACGTTAACCTGGCTTGGTTGCTGTATTCTATTCTATATTACGTTTTTTCAATTGCTTTTTTCGGTATGCTTATATAATTTTTATGATCGTTTATATATCTGTGATGCCCACGCCATGCGTTTATTACAAGAAAAAAAAAGTATGTTGTAAGCATTTTTGTTTTCCTTGCTTGTAACATATGTATCTTACGATAACAAATACACCGAAACCAATTGCTGGTACAGTATATTACCAACACATAACATCTCTCTCTCTTTCGCCGTAAAATATCAACTGACGATAGTCTTTTCCTTTCTCGGAAAAAAGTTAAAATTTAGTTAGCCTTTCTAATTAATAAATTATTGTTAATGTCAAAAAGTTAGGATACATTATGAAATTCGATAATTATTTGTAATGCATTGGCATATTATTCGCACTTAGATAATTATATTTCCGATTTTAGTCTTGCCATCATACACAATTTTAGCGTGAATACTTTTAACGCACTGCTTTGCTTTTATTCTTAAGCCATGAGATAAATAAATAATAAATACTAATATGTCTTTTTTTCCAGAATAAACAATCAAAGCTTCTTGTTTTACGATGCGTAATTAATCGCTGTTAGTATACAAAAAAAAGAAAGAAAATATAACTTTCATATATTTACTAAAATTAAAATTACATTA